ATATACCGCCAGCATGGTAATGTGGCCTTCACTTCGTCAAAAGAATACGGTATGGTCGGCGTTGATCTGCTGGTACCCCATACCAATCATAGCTCTTCTGAATCTGTCAAACCAAGCACGTGGAGACTGCTTCAGGCCATAAAGAGACTTCTTCAATCTGCAGACTTTGCCCACTGTCTGATCTGTGTCGAATCCTGATGGTATTTCCATGTATACCTCTTCCACCAGATCTCCATGAAGGAATGCATTCTTCACATCTAGTTGGTATAGCTTACATCCACCATTTACTGCCAGAGAGATCAAGATCCGAGCAGTGCTCATCTTCGCTACCGGACGAGCCTTGTAGCGTCTCATCATAGTCAATTCCATACGTCTGGCTATACCCTTTTGCCACCAGACGAGCCTTGTAGTGCTCAACTTGTCCATCTGGATTCTGCTTCACAGTGAAGACCCACTTGCATCCAACTGCTCTTTTTCCTTCTGGTAGTTTTACTAGCTCCCAAGTGCGGTTCTTCTCCAGAGCTCCTAGCTCCTCGTGCATAGCTGCTTTCCACTTTGGGTCTTTCTTAGCAACCTGCCAATTATTAGGTACAGTAACAGAGTCTAATGATGCAATGAATGCTCCATGTGCAGGATGAATATTAGAATATGATACAAACTGGGCAAGATCCCAACCATATCTATCGGGAGGATGTCCCGCATTGCTGCGAGTAGTCCTCCGTACTGACATTGGTGTGGGAGGAGTAAGAAGAAGAATGATATCACCTTAAGAGGAATCTGATGGTGGTGTAGGTGTCTCAGGAGTCGGGACAGGCGTTGATAAAGGACTTGACACTAGTGGCACTGTAGGTACTGTTTCTGCAATTTACTTTCCTTTCTTACTATAGATAAGTAGCCCCCCCTGAGCCGTGGGCCTAACACCTCTTGTCTCCTTATCCTCTTCTTCTTTATTCTCCTGCTCCTCCTCAACCAATTCTCCTTCCCAAGGAATCGTTAGAGAAATCGATTTCTCCTTATTATTCTCTACATTATTCATCTGCCTCTCACCATTCTCCCCTTCTCGCCTCATACTTTCAGTATTGGGCGAGTCACCAACAGATGATGGTACCTTTTGTGTGTAATATGGCTCAAATTCACGAAAGCACACATCCATGCTCACGAACAGTCTTTTCTCCACCGGGCTTCAGCAAACATATCCCTTTTGAGTAGCAGAATATCCCACAAAAATGCACTTCACCGCTCTAGGGGCAAGCTTCCCGACTGATGGTCTGTTATCCTTCACAAAGCACACACAGCCAAATACTAAGAATCTCACCATTATCTCCTTTCAACGTCTCACACGGAGACTTCCAATCCAGTACTCTCGAGGGCATTCTGTTGATCAGCGCCGCTGCAGTCAATACTGCTTGCCCCCACAATGTTTCTGGGATATTCATGGAGATCATCATACTTCTAGCAACCTCTAAAAGATGTCTGTTCTTCCTTTCCGCTATCCTATTCTGAGCTGGTGTGTATGGACATGTAGTCTGGTGTTATATTCCCTGAGATGATAAGTATTCTCCAAACACCCTGTTGGTGTACTCTGTCCCATTATCAGATCTTAAAACCTTCACCACTGCTCCATATTGAGTCTGAACATACCTATGAAAGTTTTGAAAGCAGCCAAACACTTCACTCTTATTCTTCATCAGATATAACCAAGTAACACGAGAGAAGCAATCAATGAAGGTAACAAAATATTTGTATCCATTCATAGAACTTGTGGAACACAGTCCCCACACATCTGAATGTATCATATCAAATACATAAGAACTCCTATGATCAGAACTAACATAAGAGCTTCTAGTAAGCTTTTCCAACTTACATGCATCACACACAAGTTTCTCTTTATTTACTTTCTCAAATAAAGATGGATACAACCTACTTAAAACACCGAAAAAAGTATGTCCCAAGCGTTTGTGATGAAGCATCAACACATTCTCAGCACTCATCTCAGATCCTACTTCTGCTCTCTCTACCATTAACACCAAAGCTGAATCTAGCCATTCACGATCCAGATACCACAGTCCATTACGCCATGTGCCTGTCCCAAGTCTCCGTCCTGTCCCCTTCTCCTGAAAGATCACCTTGAGAATATCAAAAGAAACAATACATTTTAGTTGGAGGATGATAGAACTAATGAATAAAAGATTGACTGGAAAGGAAGGAGCATGCAAAACATTGGACAAAGTTACAGAACCAGTACAATCAACTGTACCCTTACCAACCACCGGCTGAAATGTACCATCAGCTGTTTGAATACTATCAGGCGATGCTAAGTGAGTATATGATGAGAACTCACTAGCATTACCTGTCACATGGCGAGATGCACCGGAGTCGACTATCCACTCTGATGATCTGTCGGGAGACATAGAAGCAAGAGCATGTATGTCATCAGTACCTTTGTTCGGATGAGCATAGGTAGCAGTGTTGCCTCTGACGAAGAACGAAGTAGATGCCTCCGCAGTCCCATTCCTCAAATCTCCATCCCCTGCTACTTGCTGTTTTTTCCTGAGTATCGTGAGGAGAGCACGATCCTCCTCTGTAAAGACCACCTCAGCTTCTTCTTCCTCTGCTACCGTCAGATTCGCCCGATTCCCTGCTCCTCTTCCACCTCGTCGACCCCCACGGCCACGACCACGACCTCCGAACTGTCCACGTCCACCCGAATCTCCATCCTTGGATGGCTTGGTGCAAGCATGCCGTAGATGACCCACCGCACCGCAGTTATAGCACTGTCGAGTCTCTCTCCTAGATCCAGTGTTGCTAGAGGCTGTCAGTGCTGACTTCACCACAGGAAGTCCACCTGTCCCCGCCTGCAGCCGAATGCGAGTCTCCTCCTGAATCATAGCAGAGACAGCCTCCTCAAGCGTGGGAATCTTCGGCTGAGCTAGCAGCATTGCGATTCGTTGAGCGAACTCTGATGTCAATCCCTTGAGAAACATCATAGTCCTCTCCTGTAGAAAGGTCTCCCGCTCTTTACATCCCGGGTCCTTGCAGCTAGCCCGGGGGGAAAAATGATCATAATCTAGCCACAGACGTTCCAGCTCTGTGGCATACTCCTGTACAGTCCGCTCTCCCTGGACTGTGGCGTCGATTTCTCCCTTAATCTGGAACACCCGCAAGTTATTCCCTACTCCATCATAGGTCCTCCTCAACTTTTCCCAGACGTCCTTCACCTTCTCAATGCCATCAACTGTGGCGGCGATCGACTGGACCAATGAGTTGAGGAGCCAGATATACACCAACATGTGAGTGGACTTCCACTCGTCTCTTCCTTCGGAGTCCTCTCCCTCCGAGTCCTCCTCCGGTTCTGTCGCCTCTCCTGTCAAGTAACCCTCTAGGTTCCTCCCTGCAAGGGTGTATCTCACCCGCCGTGACCAGCTCAGGTACGTACTAGGTCCATCCAGCTTCAGATCGATGGTCGGAAGCTCCAACTTCTTCGATGGTTTTGTCGCGCTCTCACCAGCCGATAATTTCATTAGCTTCATCAAAGTTGACACCTCCGTAGGGTTCAACTTCTTGATGATCTCCTCCATCGAACAGGCTTCAGACCTAACACCTGGTCATCTACTCTTCCAACCCTTGTTGTGTGCAGTGAAAATTTCGGCAGTATCTCTGCTGCACAACAAGAGTAGGATCGCAAACAAATTCTCGTTTCTCAGAGGAAACAAGAACCAAAAACAGTTATATATCTTATCGATGTGAGATATATACTCTTCCTGTCATCAGTTCAAGGACTGAGTCAAGGGAATCCATGCCAAACTCTAGGTTCGACACGGTGCACCGCGGGAAGGGGGTAGTGAGGATGGCTAAGGCGGCGTTCACGTCTGCGCAGGGGCTCGAGGGTGCTGTGGGGCGCAGTGAGGGGGCTGCGCTAGGGGGGCTGTTGTGGGGGGGGCCGTGAGGACTGTCGTGTGCGGGCTGTCCGTGGGGGGGGCGCTACGAGGGGGCGCTGTTGAAGGCTGCCGTGGGTGTGTGGGCTCTGCGAGGGGGGCTGGCCATGGGAGGTTGCCTGTGGGGGGCTCCTGGGTGGGGCTGAAAGGGGGCTGGGGGGCGGTGCTGCGTGGTGGGGGGCTGCCGCGGTGGGGCTGCAACGGGCCAAGAAGCAGGCCTGCTGTGGTGGGCTCTGCTGCGAGGGCGTGAATGCCCCGGTATGGTGCTAGTAGGGCAGCCGGTGGGGGTAGACGGCGGCTAGGGTTTTGGTGGAGGCTCTGATACCAAGTTGAAATATATGAGAAAACCCTAAATCTTATTATGAGATCTCTTGGGCTTATATAGGCCCTACAAAACACAACTTACAAATAAGTCCCTACATATTACTCATAAGTCAACAAAGACTAATATGTTAATGGGAGGTTATAAAATATAAACAACTTAGTCATGGTGAAATTATTTTAGGGGTTATGAATAATAATACATTTAAGTGAGGGTTATGTATGTATGAGGTATGGTTTATGTATGGATGCATGTGTTTAATGTATACATGTATGTGTTTTAAAGGATATTTTCGGAAGAAATGTTTTAACATACCAACACACCTTTATAATATTATTAGATTATTAAAACCATTCAGTTTGCAACCACTTGATGCATGGACAAAATAACCTTTAAAACTGCATTTTCGTTCTACAGAACTCGCAAAACATCGAGATCTAAATTAACAGATTGGATAATCTATTTCATGCACATGTATAAACGTGCATAACTAAATATATTTTCTCCAGAATTACTAAAATTTACTTCCCAATTAAAAGTTATTGTTGCAAATTACTGCATTTTGTCTTATTTGTACTTTAGCATTAAGGGAATTTCTCTTCCATTTTCCAATCCATATTGGGATAATAAACTTGATGGTACACCAAACAAATTCCAATGAATGAAGTTGAAACTTGACTCTGATGATTCAAAGTTCTGTTGCTATTACTAAAGATGAAAAACTAAGGCTCTAAACATCATACCTCTTGCTTGAATTGCTTCATTCCTCTAACCTCGTCCGAGGTTAAAATCTTCACCGCTGCTATAGTATGATGAAAGTTAGCCTTATAAACTGTTCCATTCGCCCCTGATCCAATCTTAAGATCATCTGAAAACAACAAAGTGGCAGCTTCAATCTCTTCCCATGTGTACTTCTTGTATTGCTCAGCCCTTTCGAGCCTTTTTTTATCTGCAGACTCACGAGCAGCACTGTCCTCAGCATCTTTCCTCTGTAAAGACTCCTTTTTGACACATTCTCTCACATATTGAGCCTCTCTTTCTGCTGCTTCTCGTCTTTCTCTTTCTACTCTGGCCATTTCTCTGACTTTCTCTTCTCTTAGTTTTATCTCATTGAGTCTTACTGCTTTCTCCTCATGCTGTGCTTTTAATTCTTTCAACTAGCATCAGAAATAAAGACTCTGAATAGGAATCTAATGAATTGAACTAAAATGAAAGTGGCCATAGATAACAACAGGGTCTTACTTCATGAGATGCATCAGTAGATTCATCCTGAGCAACTTCGTACATCTGTTGAATATGTCTGAGTTCAATTCTCAGTCTTTCAAGCTCAAAATCTACATTAACCTTCAAATAGACGAAGCCAACTTAAATAAGTTGTAGAACATCATCGCACAAAATATACTTGTCAATTTGCTGGATGTGAAGCACAGGATTTTGACCAATGATGTGAAACAGGATTAGTTCTTTTTTTTAATACTATTTAACTCCTTTCTTTGTAATGCACTGGTTGAAAAATAAGTCAAGATTCTAATTATTTCTTTCACAAGATGATGCGGTTTTATGTCAAAAACACCAAATATATGCAGATGCAAAGAGTATTGTAAAAGTCCATTTGAACATTACACCAAAACTTCGAAGATATGGTGCGGATAGAGGGTTATAGTTTTATATTCTAACATATGCCCCAGCAAGTTTAGCGCCCTTTTTTATGGGCCGAAACCTGGACTAACGTACCAGTGTCAATCTTTAGAAAATTTGCTTTATATTCATGGCCGGTGGACTTTGAACCGGGGTTGCTGTGATAGACTGATAGCATGTTAATGTCCCTCTAACCATTACACGAAAACATCGAACTTACGATGAGGACTGAGGGTTCTATGTTTACACTCTAACAAGTATATTGGTGTAAGGTTGCAATTTCATCCATTATCCGAGATTATTTGCATGTTTGGAGGCATGTATGGACTACCTTCTATATACAATTCACTGTTTTGATATTTCTCAAAATAAGATAAGTAGAAAGGAATGACATAATGCATTTCTTTTTCCAAATGAAAACAAATGAGGAAACTTCTTTAAAAAGATATAGCCCAAGTTTAAGTCAATTTATGAAAAAGTAATTCAATGACAAAAAGATCATTTATATTTCTTGATTGTGCTCCAATTTCTCAAGGATGTCTGTCATTCTTATGTAAAAACATTGTGTTACACGCAGGATTCTTCAGAACAATCTGTGGAGTTCGTATATTTTTTTCGTCACAGAACAAAGAATTCCCCTACAATAGAATAAAGTTTGTAACACAAGAAAGACTAATCTAAATGGAGTTAAAGAATTTATTCGGGAAAAAGAAGTGGAGTTAAGCATTTGCTTACATCACTCTGCAAGAATGAGGGGTTCTTTGCAATATCTGATGTTGAGGCCTGACCAGAATTCCATGAGCATGTATCTGTTTGGGTGCTGTTAATATGCTCCATCTCGGATGTATTAGAGGAGGAACTCATCAAATTATCATCAGTAGACACAGATGGCGTTCTAACATGAAGATTATCCCCAAATCTTGCAATAACATCACCAAAGTTCTGGTTTATAACTTTAAGTGCTTGGTTTCTCTGACTTGAAAGAGAAGGAGATTGAGTAAGAGAGAAATTTGATGATATCTCTGAGTTCATCCCTTCTGAAGGCAGAATAAAAAGGCATCAGAAAATGGTAAAGATAAATTTCAACACCTTGTAAACAGAAAATAAAACAAAAATTATATTGCTCTAGAATATGAAGTTTCTCGATTAAGAATTGAATCTAATTTGAATTAGTGGATTAGTACATATTTCTTCCCTAAAAAGTTGGGTAATAAATATATTTCCTTGTGTTATAAGTGAATATGTCTGAACGAATGAAGATTATACTAAGAAATATGCATGTATTTTAATTGCAAAGACAGGAATAGTTAGGAAAAATGACCCCCTTTAGCTTTTTTTTTTGTCAAAGGTTGTTACTAACCAAAAGCATGATATGTCAGGTTGTATGTTAATAACATATATCAACAAACACTTGGTCTTATGTGGAAATAAGAACTGCTATCTTGCATTTGGAGTCTAGCATACGCGGCCTTTTCGTAAGGGTATTAATTTATATGCTTATTACTTGATTTGTGCCCAGGACATTTTCTTCCCAAATGATTTCAATAAATCAATTTACCCAAAGTCTTAAACCATTGGATTGTGGGCTAATAACTTATATAAACACACCCAAGAAAGGTGATGAAATTCTCTCTATAAAATCTTAACATACTTTTTATTTTTATCAGGGTGTCTAATTTCCACCTTGTCTATAAAATAAGGAAGTCAAGTTTTCTCAAACAAATCGAGAAACTTTCCAACTTATACGGGTTGGAATGAGAATCAGCTTCCACCCAAAATTCTATTAGGATATGTGTAGCCTAACTATCAGACTCGCCCTTTACTTCAGATTGAAGAAGAAACAGGAGAAACATGATCGACGACGATGAAGTTCAAGTAAAACGACGAAGTATGCAATTTGATCGGATCGCGGTCGACCGCGCATGGCACGGCGGTCGACCGCAAACATGCACAGGCACATACTTTGGCCAGGAGCTTGTCGCGGTCGACCGCGCATGGCGCAACGGTCGACCGCCAAAAATTCCGAGAGCAACCCAGATTACAGTCATCGTCGCGGTCGACCGCGAGTGGCACGACGGTTGACTCGGTTGACCGCCAAAAGTCCAGAGACTTTCCTGGATTTTGAGTAGCTACGCGGTCAACCGCGCGTGGCGTGACGGTCGACTGCGAATCGGGTTTTGGCTCAGCTTGTTCTTTGGATATGTTTCCTATTCCTGTTTGTAATACCCTTATATCTATAAAAGAGTTGATTAGGACATGATGTTATTTAGAGGAAAATAGTAAAATTTTCTCCTACGGCGGCCGTGAACGTAGTTTCTCACATTGAGGAACGAACCACGTAAATCTTGTGTGTTTGTGATTGTGATTATTTTTCTCCTCTCTCCCAAATCTCTATTTCAAATCACATCAGGGAGGTTGTGCATCCCCAACAAGTGGTATCAGAGCGACCAGGTTCGACGCGAGCGATTTGAGGTCAGAGACATGAGATCTGAGAAGGAAACACCAAGATTGAGAAGTTTGATGGAACAAACTTCGGGTTCTGGAAGATGCAGATGGAAAATTACCTCTATCAGAATGATTTATACCTACCATTGGGAGAGAAGCCGACGGATATAAAGGATGCGGAGTGGAAGCTATTGGATCGAAAGGCCCTTGGAGCGATTAGTTTGACCTTGTCGAAATCAATAACGTTCAACATCAAGAATCAGAATACGACGACGGATCTCATGGCGGCGTTGTCTAGTATGTATGAGCAGCCCTCTGCGGCGAATAAGGTACATCTTATTAAAAAGTTGTTTAATTTGAGGATGTCCGAAAGCCAGAAATTCAAGGAACACCTGAACGAGTTCAATGAGATCACAGATCAATTAAACTCGGTTAATATTCAATTTGATGATGAAATCCAAGCCATCTTGATACTTGGTCAATTACCCGACAGTTGGAAGGGTACCGTTATTTCAATTAGCGGATCATGTGGTAAATCAAAACTAAAGTTTTCAAAGGTGGTGGATATGATTATGACTGAGGAGATTAGAAGATAAGAGGAAGGAATTTCTAATTCAGGGTCGGCGTTGAATTTTGAGAGCAGAGGTAGAAACAGAAACAGAAATAGAGGGAATAGCCGAGGAAGACCTAACTCGAGGAATGGAAGGTCAAAATCCAGAAATCGCAAGAGCAAGAAGGAGATTGACTGCTGGAATTGTGGCAAGTTTGGCCACTATGAGAATCGAATCCAATGACAAGAAGAACAAGACTGAAGCGAACGTGGCCTCAGGAGAATCAGATGATGCCCTAATCTGTTCGTTGGAGAGCAAGACTGAGTCGTGGGTGCTGGATTCAGGAGCTTCGTTTCATGCTACCTCAAATAGAGATTTATTTGAGAACTATGTTTCAGGAAATCTAGGAAAAGTCTATCTTGGTGATGATCAGCCCTGTGATATTGTTGGCAAATGAGTCGTGCAGATCAAACTCAATGGGTCTATATGATTAGTGATGTGAGACATGTTCCTAGTTTGAGGAAGAATCTAATTTCCATAGGATAATTGGCGAAAGAGGGATATGTATCAACCTTCGCATGTGATACGTGGAAGGTTACAAAGGGGTCCATGGTTGTAGCCCGAGGTACGAAGACTGGGTCCCTCTACATGACGATAGATGCACATGGTTCCATTACAGTGGCTGAAAACAAGGAAGACCCAAATTTGTGGTACCGGAGGCTTGGTCACATGAGTAACAAATGTCTGAAGGTTATGCAGTCGAATGGGAAGTTGCCAGGTTTGAGGTCGGCTGACATTGACTTATGTGAAAGTTGTATTCTTGAAAAACAAAAGAGAATAAGCTTCAAAAGGGTTGGCAGAACTCCTAAAGAAGAGAAGCTTGAGCTAATTCACACAGATGTGTGGGTCCAGTATCGGTACAATCCACTGGTAGAAGGTTATATTTTGTGACCTTCATAGATGATCACTCGAGGAAGACTTGGGTCTATTTCATGAAACACAAATCAGAAATGTTTGAAGTCTTCAAGAGGTAGAAGGCTATGGTAGAGAACGAAACCGGTTTGAAGATCAAGAAGCTTTGTTCGGACAATGGAGGCGAGTATGAAGATTCAGAGTTCAAGAGGTTCTGTTATGACAATGGCATCAGATTAGAGAGGACAGTGTCAGGTACACCCCAGCAGAATGGCATAGCAGAACGAATGAACAGAACGTTAACTGCGAGAGCCAGAAACATGCGTCTACAAGCAGGTCTTCCAAAGCAATTCTGGACAGAAACAGTCAACACAGCTGTCTACTTGATCAACCAGGGACCATCAGTGCCTTTAGAGCACAAATTACCTGAAGAAGTATGGAGTGAAAAGCAGGTAAACCTTTCTCACCTGAGTATTTGGATGTGTTTCATATGTTCATCTGAGTGATCATGCAAGAAACAAACTTGATCCTAAATCATTGAAATATTTTTTTATTGGCTATGGTGGTGATGAGTTTGGCTATAAGTTCTAGGATGAGCAGAACAAAAAAATCATCAGAAGCAGGGATGTGGTCTTTAATAAAACAGTCCTCTACAAAGATCATGATGTCGTTCAGCCCACTAGTTCGGTGCAGTGTGAGACCACATACTTCGAGTCAGATGATACCTCAGATGGAGGCAATCCCGAAGCTAGTTCTGATGAAGAAGAAGCAGAAGAAGAGTTGATGGATGAGACTACCTCAGAGGGGGCAAATGAAGATGGAGAGCCTGTTTCGCCCGTTAGAGAGTTGAGACGATCAGCAAGAGTCCCCAAGCCTAATCCGAAATATCCATCACTACAGCCCAGAGCTCATTTGAACTACCTACTACTGAGTGACGGTGGAGAGCCAGAAAATTATGATGAGGCACTTCGAGTGGATGATGCGAGCAAGTGAGAGCTTGCTATGAAAGATGAAATAAAATCCTCGAACACTAACAAGACATGAGAACTTGCAAAGCTACCAGCGGGGAAGAAGGCCTTGAGCAACAAATGGGTGTACAGAATCAAGGAGGAACATGATGGTTCCAAAAGATACAATGCTAGATTGGTGGTTAAAGGATTTCAGCAGAGAGAAGGAGTTGATTACACAGAAATCTTTTTTCCTGTAGTCAAACTAACTATCATCAGAACAGTCCTGAGTATTGTTATAGCTGAAGATCTACATCTCGAGCAGCTAGATATAAAAACAGCTTTCCTCCATTGTGACCTAGAGGAAGAGATATATATACAGCAGTCAGAGGGGTTCACTCAGAAGGGTAAGGAGAAGATGGTATGCAGATTGAAGAAGAGCTTGTACGGCCTAAAATAAGCTCCAAGGCAATGGTACAAAAATTTTGATGGATTCATGCACAGGAACGGGTACTCCAGGTGTAATGCTGATCATTGTTGCTTCGTCAAGGAGTTTGACAACAGTTACATTATCCTGCTTGTATATGTCGATGACATGCTTGTAGCTGGTTCAGACATAAGAGAGATCAAGAAGTTGAAGAAACAATTGTCGAGTGAGTTCGACATGAAAGATTTAGGCACAGCGAAATAGATATTGGGGATGAAGATCAGTAGAGACAAAGCTTTTGGACACATTACGGCTATCTCAGGCCGAGTACATTAGGCGGGTGCTTGAGAGATTCGGGATGAGTGGTGCTAAGGCCATTAGCACACCGTTAGCTAGTCATTTCAAATTGACTAAGGAGCAGTGTCCTGAGACTGATGAAGAGAAAGACTACATGGTTAAGGTTCCATATGCTTCAGCCATTGGAAGCCTCATGTACGTCATGATATGCACGAGACCTGACATTACTCATGCAGTGGGAGCTATGAGCAGATTCATATCAGATCTAGGAGAGCAGCACTGGGAAGCAGTAAAGTGGATTCTGAGGTACCTACGAGGTACAATAGAAGATTGTTTATGCTTCAAGAGAGGCAAGTTAGTTCTGCAGGGTTTTATTGATGCAGACTATGCTGGTGAGATAGATCAGAGAATGAGCACTACAGGATACGTGTTCACTTTGGGCTCTACAGCTATTAGTTGGGTTTCTCAGTTGCAGAAGATCGTTGCTTTATCAACGACAGAGGCTGAATATGATGCTGTGACAGAGGTAAGAAAGGAGATGATATGGTTGTAGGGTTTCTTGGAGGAGTTGGGACAGAAAAGTGAGAAGAGTGTCTTACATTATGATAGCCAGAGCACAATTCATTTGGCGAAGAACCCAGCTTTTCATGCAAGGACCAAACACATACAGGTCCGCTACCACTTCATAAGATCAGCGTTGGACGAGGACATGTTGGAACTTGTGAAGATTCAAGGAAGCAAGAACCCGACCGATATGCTTACCAAGGTTGTCACTACCAAGAACCCGACCGATATGCTTACCAAGGTTGTCACTACGGAGAAACTGAAGTTGTGTTCAACTTCAGTTAGCCTCATTACTTGATGATATAGGGGCCGTCACCGCAGAGAGAGGTGATAAAGATTGATAGTTAGTCTTTAAGTGGGAGATTGTTAGGATATGTGTAGCCTAACTATCAGACTCGTACTTTACTTCAGATTGAAGAAGAAACAAGAGAAACGGGATCGACGATGACGAAGTTCAAGCAAAACGACGAAGTATGCAATTTGACTGGATCGCGATCGACCGAGCATGGCGCGGCGGTCGACCGCAAACGTGCACAGGCAGATACTTTGGCCAGGAGCTCGTCGCGGTCGACCATGCCGTCAAAAATCCCGAGAGCAACCCAGATTACAGTCATCGTCGCGGTCGACCGCGAGTGGCGCAGCGGTCGACCGCTAAAAGTCCAGAGATTTTGCGCGGTCGACCGCGCGTGGCGCGGCGGTCGACCGCGAATCGGGTTTTGACCTAGCTTGTTCTTTGGATCTGTTTCCTATTCCTATTTGTAATACCCTTGTATCTTTAAAAGGGTTGACTAGGGCATGATGTTATTTAGACGAAAATAGTAAAATTTTCTCCTGCGGCGGTCGTGGACGTAGTTTCTCACATTGAGGAACGAACCACGTAAATATTTTGTGTTTGTGATTGTGATTATTTCTCTCCTCTCTCCCAAATCTCTATTTCAAATCACATCAGGGGGGTTGTGCATCCCCAACAAATTCTCAGTCACAATTGGATCTTGATGACTCAAAATGGGACATAGTAGTATCATCACAACTATTATTATTACTATTTTAATTATGAAATCAGATCCTATTCACCTTCGAGCTTGGGTATTTTAATTTAAGGAACCAAATTCCTCTTAACATATACATAATAAGCAAATAACAGACCGATAATCTCAAAACTTTATATCTGACTCCCTGGTTCTGCCACTATGAATCTTCAAAGTAGAAGTAATTACTAGAAGCACTCATTACCTGATTTTCCACTGGAAGAACAGCTTAAACTGTTGCAAGAAACAATACTTGAAGTACTTTCAAGCCCTTTATTATGAATTTCACAAGATGATGGCGCATGTACAAATGATAGTACTCCTTTTGAAACAACATATAGCGTGCAAAAGTTTGGAATGCATCCCGAGATTCTGGAAGACATTTTGCTGCCTTTCAATTTCCTATAAATACAAGTTTTATCAGTGAGTCATGCAGCATCAAACAGAATTGAAGTTCGAAAAGGCAGTAACTTAGTTTCAAGAAAAAGTTATGAGCAAAAGCGGGTGAATTATCACTAACACGCTTTGAATGATACGAAGAGCTCAGAAAGTCATGAGCATGTTCTTTAAGAGTATACAGTCCAATAATTTAAAGTTGGAACTCCCTAGGTCCTAATTAGAATTGATTTGAACAGCAACAGTAGCAGCAGTTGGAATAGTCGGAGACAATGAAAGACAGTTCAATAACCAGGCATTTGAAGGAAACTATTAGTTAGATTAACATTTGAATTGACCATTCTTAGGTCCTACTCCGAATTAGAATAGTTGTCGGCAGCATTTAAATAGTAGCCAGCAGAAGCAGCAAAAGCAATAGAGGAAAAAAGTTCAACTTGATGATTTTAACCAACCTCTTCATTGCATAAATCATTCAAGGGGGTAAAGATTTAAGTAGTCTCATGAATATCTTTAATTTCTTAAAATCCAGCCTAAAAGCTTAAGATGTGTTTGGTAGCATTGGAAGTGATCAGGACAAGCGAATACAGAGAAGCGAACCACAGAGAAAGAAAAGAAGAAAGTGTTTTATCATTTTACTTTAAAGTCTGTAAAGGTTCCAGTGAACTCAGACAAAAAAATATCTCCAACTCTATCTGTATTCTTCTCCTCCAATATCTCTTGACCTAGAAACGCTCACATAGTTTGCACACAACATGAGTTAGTAAACAAGTTTTCAACCGAAGTTCATGAATTATGGTACGTACGAGAGGAAAAGGGAATATACAGCTCCAATATAGGACTAAACCATGACAAGCCTCTTTCCTTTGGCATTATGCTGTATGATCATCTCTATTCAGTTATTCAAATTTGATGATGGAACCATTTCTATACATCTCTATACTTGGCAGGTTGATTGTTTTCAGGTGAGGATGTGCCAGACTGCTTCTAACTCGCCTGTGTGTACTTTAACCAAAATCCACATTTATATAGTTAAAGAGAAAATACCCTGATACTGAATTGTAAACAATATCTTATGATCCGTTATATGAGACTAATTGGATTTTAGTAATATACGAAGTTAGTATGGTTGCTAAAATCTGGTAAAACTATATTTTGGCACATATTCTTCAACTTTTTTGGACAGAATGATTATATAATTAAAACTATACAGGTTCTACCATACCTAGAAAAAATATTTCTGGAAGAAACCCCTATGACAAGCTTGCTGACTGTAAACTTATCGATCTCTGCTGATATAGCCTCTGCCACATCATCTGCTTCAATTACCACAGCTTCTGCTTCCACCTGCATGATGAAATAAATTTAACATTTTCTTGGGTATTTTTCTAATGGAATAATCAAGCCAAAAGAATGTTTACCTTTCTCTGATTACACATTTTCTTGTAGGGTTGAAGCATGGAAGTGGTCTGTGTTTCTACATCTTTCCTGTATGCCGAGGCGATATCATCCCGCACTTTTGAAATGGGAATATAGTTCCCCACTGAGTTATAAAGAAAGCAATAAACCAAATAAAGAAGTTAGTCTCACATTTCTCTTAATAATAATCAATGCAACCAAGAGGGAGATGCGTAGCTATCTGCTAAGAACAAATGATATCAAGAGATCATAGATGCCGTGTACTCTGTAACACCTGGTGCAAGCTTTTCTAATACTTTCCTCTCTATTCTCTTCCACCATAATTAATCAACAAAGACGAGGTAGTCTGCAACGATATAATGCTTGAATAGAAGCAACACACGCTTCGCAAAGAATAGATTGCTTTTGTTCTCGTTTTTATGGAAGGTTCCTCCACTAAAATTGGGTTAGATGCCATACTCTTAATACAAAAAGATCACAGCCAGAATTTGTACAGAATTATGACTCTGTTTAGAGCCATAAAGATATCGACCCATATCTGTCGAGTTTAGGGAGAGTTTCTTACAAAATATGTGCTTAGGGAGTTAAATTTTGAAGATGACAAAATTCCAAAGGAGGAAGAAACTGACCATTTGTTATTGGATGCTAAGAGGTTATTGGAATTCTTACACCATGCCATTTTGGGAAGAAAGAAATAGAAGGAGTTTTCAAGACAAACCAAACTCGATCACAATGAAATAAATCTCTTCACTCTCAAGGCACATCACTACATAATAACTGACATGCAATATATGCAACTGCAAGGCTATGCTTAATCAACCTTGTGCTAATTTTGCGGTTCTATTACTAGATTCTATAATTTTCAAGAAATAAATCATATCATAATAAGATGGCAATCTCATGACTACATTTAACTACAAAAGGTGAAATATTTTACACAAGGAATTTTTTACATAAGACTTACTTGGTGTGGGGACCATTGTGATCTTGGGCTGGACATATATAAGCCTGAAAAAAATTCTCCCCTCAGGGATGAACTTCTCCAATGCCCATTTGAGTGCATACTTGCTGTTTTTGGTTCCATTGACAGCCACAGCAACAGTTAGATTGCTCAAGGATTCCCCCCTTTCCTTCATTTCTTCAATTTCCATTCTTTTACCCCACCTTTTTGCCTTCGCCTCCGTCTAATCCATTGAATTCAGCATTCTCTCTGAAAGTTTTCATCAAAAAAAAAAAATAGTACCATGTTAAAACAAAGGCAAAAATTCAAAGAATTTCGATGAAATCCTAATTGAGGGCCACAAAAGAACCCATAAAGTTCAATATATAACACCAAACATAACAAAGCTTCTATTTAAATCAGTTTTCCCATTAAACCCATAAAAATTACTTCAAACCCAAATTTTTCTTGAGCTCAAAAACCCAAAAAGAGAGAGACAGAGAGAGAGGATCATAAAACAAAATACCCAGAAAATAAAAGATCAATATATAACACCTTTTGCGTCCAAAAGCTCCTTCCCTCTGTGTGTCTCTTTTAGGGGGCAACAAAATGATGAGGGCAAGAAAATACCCAGAAGCAGGAAACGGGCATTTTTTTTTTCCTTTGAAGTTTTGGGAAAAAGAAAAAGAAAAGAAAATGAAGCGTGGGACTGTTTTCACTCGTGAAAAATCTAAACAGATATCAGTCGCCATCAGCAAGTATCACTTGCTTTCCTTTTTTATCGCCTTTTACTGTTTTTTCTGTTGGTTATTTTCCGATGTTTGAGGTATGGAGTTTATTACTTGGGAAAATTGCTTCAAGGCCCCAAATCCTAATTTTGAATGTGCCCCAGCCCCCCAACTTTCACACATGTGCTGTACCGCCATTTTTTTGAAAATTTGTGTCCAAGCCCCTCTCCCCAAGTTCACATGCAAACTCCATACACAAATCCCCATTTTACCCTTCTCCCCCACCTCCCTCCCCCACCCCGAGTTCTGGTCCTCCTCTGCCGCCTCCCTCACCTCCCTCCCCTCCACCTCCCTCCCCGCCCCGCCTCCCTCTCCCGCTCCGTTCTCCAATCATTTCCAAGCGAAGGGGGCTTGGCGGAGATGCTGGACGCGGCCCACGTGCCAATAGGGGAGGAGAAGGATATGCTAATAGTTTTCGTTTGAGCTCAATGTGTGAACTGTAATAGTTAACATATTATATATAATAGTTAACATGTTATCTATAACAGTTAACATGTTAACTATAACAGTTAACATCCGCTGGCATGAGAAAGAGAAAAGGGTAAAATCAGGATTTTAGGAGCTGACATGTCTAATCATGAGCTGGAGTCATGATGGAGGGGCCTGTACACAATTATTTTCAAAAAAAAGGGCTGAAGTACAATAAAAAAAAAGGAATGACTGGGGCACATTGAAAGTTCAAATTTAGGGCCTAGAAGCAATTTTTCCTTGTTACTTCTCAGTTTAATTTGGTAAGTAAAGTTTTCCTTTTTAGTGCTATCCTTCTTTCTTGTTGGGATAAATATGCACATAACTTTCTCATTTTTATCTTTAGAGTTTATCATTGTTTAATTATGGCAAAACTTGAATAAAGTCTCGTGATGTATTGGCCTAAAATCATTTGGGTCTTTAACGTTTAGAAGTCATCATTGAGAGTTCATAATATTAACTCCGTTAGGTTAAGTTATTTTTATGAACTTTCATTATGTATTGCTGATGTGGCGATTACATGGCAGGGCCACGTTATCGTCGCGTCAGTAAAAAAAAGTGAAAGTTCAAGTTCAATACATGCTTGTTATTTCACTAATTTTCTGCTGATGTGACAGGACAAACTTGGACATCCGCTAACATTTTTTGCTAACATGGACAGAGTTACATCATCGCATGTTAGTGAGATTTAACAGAAATTTATAAAATGACCCTAAGTTGATGATGAAGGTACCATTAGGGACGCTCACTGATGAGTTCCAAACATTAATCTCCATTGAATTTTTGCCTTCATTTTACTAGCACTAACTGTCCCTAAATTCGCATATGAGAAAAGTGGGTAGCAGATTACCCCTTCTTGCTTATGCATTGAAGGGTAATAAGTGCTAATAAAGTATTTTGAGGGATGGTAAGTACTGCTGAATAAAAGATGAGAGAGTTATCTGCAATTTACTCATATTAATATCTGCCCCTCACCACAATGTCATTTATCTTAATCAAAATATCAATATATGAGGCCCCCAGATTTAATTCCACGTCTACTAATTACTGGGCATTTAAAATATTTATAGTGAAGTCATGAGCCAAATTATGTGTTGCACTCAGTAAATCTCTGAGTTTACATCATATCAACGGGCTCTTTGGCACCGAGTGCTACATCTAGAGTCCACATTGGTCCCACGGCTAGACCATTTTGGCAATGGTTTTTACGGCTTATATCGTGCTAATGGGCTCGCAGGCTCGGGATGTAACATAATGACACTTGTCTGATTATCGACTTTAAACCAACGCAAATAGTTACAACATTATACAAAAATGGATGGGTGCAAGCATCCCAAAAATTTAACCTCGTCCAGCTTTAAAAATGACGCGAGGGATGCATTCTGCTTTTTTCCTATATGATTTTCGATATAGAATATTTTATATAACCTTTTTATTACTTTAAATTCTTAAATTAGAAAATTCTTCAAGAGGCACCTCTAATGGAAAATTATAAGAAACATGAAAGACTGGTGTTCAATGGAAAATTATCTCACGCCTCTATACAATTTTCTACAGAGTCCCTCTATGGGATTTTCTCCCCTTAAACCTTAGAAATTAAGTAGTCACTGACCAATAATAACTAGGTCAAGAGAATAAAAAGTTAGTAGGGTGCTGATAGTAGACGTCTCCACATGTTAGTCAACGCACAGGTGGAATTTTGGAGGAGGAAGATAAACTTCGGATTTTTTTAACATTAGAAAAGTCCCCACATTTCACTATTATTATGTAACTTGCGTTGAGGTCTTTAAGAATATCCAGACCAAATGTATGTATCACTGAATAATCAACCAAGAATCCATTGGTCCCCTTGAAAACTACTGCATCTCTAAAATTTTTTGACTTTCCTTCATCACCAAAAGTTTTAATAACGTTTAAGATATTGTTGTTTTAGAAGTTGAGGCTCACTCCTTTTATAAATGATGATATAGATAAATGGTGTCAAGTTATATAATTAAGAGGACATTTCCTTAAGGAAAAAAAATCTACTTTTTATATTTCATTAGACAAACAACCAACTTTGTACTTATTTATTAAAATAATCAAAGTTTAGAACAATGATGTGAGACAGCCTGATGAAGAGTTACGCGGATAGTAGTCATATCTTTGAGTATCATGCTCTCAAATAGGGCTGTCCAAAAAGCCCCTGGCTTGGGTCCGGGCCCGTGTCGGTTTTTCAGAAACCGGTCCGGACCCAGGCCCGACCTGGAATAGTGTCGGGACGGGCACGAGATCCGGACCGGGCCGTCTGAGCCCGGACCCGGCCCGGATGAAACGGTCACCAGAAGGTGACCATTTGTGATAAACGGCCGGGCCGGGCCGGCCCCAACGGTCACCTAAGGTGACCGTTGAGCTGTTTTGGCCAGGCCGGCCCGGCCCGGCCCGGCCCGACATAACCCCCAATTTGAGGTTTCGACCGTTTTGCCCCTAACAACGGTCAAAAAACGGTCAAAATGTGAGGGTTTTTTGGTCATTTGCCTAGGGGGCTGCATCTATAAATAGAGGGGGGTTTCACTTCTTCTCCTCACACCAAAACTCTTCTACTTCTCTCTAATACTCTCTTATACAATATTATACTCTCTTATATTTTCTAATACTTCAATCAAATGGCTTCTGGATCTGAATATGAAGAGCAAAATATATCCCCTACTGATTTAGAAATGAGTCCTCCTACAACAACTACTCCTCTTACCGGTGTTAATCCTGAATCTGGTGGTAACGAATCTGCACCAAGAGCTCCTAAAAGGCCGAGATCCGATATGTGGAATTTTTTTTGAGAAGATAGACGTCACCAAGGATGAACACGGTAGGATCATTACCCAGAAGGCTAAATATGCGTTGTGTGGCCATATTTTCCAGGCTCATCAAAGAGCGGCACCAACCACCTCAAACGCCATATTGAAAAACACAACAAATACCAGAATCTTCAAGGTGATATCCGACAATCTATGATTTCTCAATCCTCCTTCTCTGGTAGTCTCAGTAGTTGGAGTTATGACGCTGCCGGAGCCACGAAATGCATAATCAGGTTTATTGTTCTTAAAAACCTTCCTTTTAGATTAGTAGAAGATGATGAATTTGAAGATTTGTTTAGAGATAGTTTTTATCCCGCATTTACCAAAATTTCTCGTCAAACCTGTCAACGTGATATTTTAAAATATTATCAGGAGGAATAAGGAAAAATAAATTCTTATTTTAAAATTTTAAACTGTAAATTTTCTTTAACTTCTGATATTTGGACATCTAGAGTGCAAACTGGTTATTTATGTATCACAGCATACTGGATTGATAAAAATTAGCAAATGTTTAAAAGAGTTATTTCTTTTATTGCAATTGAAGAGTCACACACTGGTATTAATATTATAAATTTAATAATTGAAGAACTTATGAAACTAGAAATTGATCAAAGAATATTTTCTCTTTCCCTAGATAATGCAAGTAATAATAATGTACATGTTGATTTTATCAAAACAACTCTATCATTGCCATGTCATGGTAAACTTTTTCATATTAGATGTATCTATCACATTTTAAATTTAATTGTTCACAGTGCATTTTCTGAAATTAAACTCATGATAGAAAAGGTTAGAACTGTTGCTAATATGCATAATGCTTCTGAAATGAGAATTAAAAGATGAAAACAATGTTGTAAAAAAAATTATAAGTCCAGACTAATTCCAAAAGATGTTGATCATAGGTGGAATTCCACCTATGCAATGTTAAGTGTGGCAATAGAATATAAAAAAATTATAAATGTTATAAATTCATATGATTCTAGTTCTAGCTCTGGTAGTAGTTATAGAATAACTGAAGATGAATGGACAATTATATGTAATTTAAATAAGATGTACAAGTCTTTTATGATGCTACAGTGTTATTATCTGGCTGTTATTGTCCAACAATTACTTTAGTTGCTTTACAAATTTTAAATATTCAAAAGTTTTTTTCAAAATATCGCATGGATGATACTTTTGGATATATAATTTTTCAAATGAAAAGCAAAATAAGTATTTTAGGTCTATTCCTCATATTTTTGGTTTGGGGGTTCTTATTGATCCATGTTTGAAGGATGTATTTTAGGTCTATTCCTCATATTTTTGGTTTGGGGGTTCTTATTGATCCATGTTTGAAGGATATTGGCCTTCGAAGTTTAATTTTTGGTTTGGGGGTTCTTATTGATCCATGTTTGAAGGATATTGGCCTTCGAAGTTTGTTACAATCACTATATGGTAATCAAGTTATAGACTTAGATGATGGATCCATCCTTACTGCTACTTCTCATCATTTAGCTATTAGAAATTATTTTCAAATATTGTATGATGAGTATGCAGTTAGACATGGTGTAGCTACATAACAGTCTACAGCTTCGGTGCCTTCGATCATAAGCCGAGGTAAAAGTGTAAGTTTTGATAGGTATGCAATGGTAGCTGAACTAACTGGTGGATCTGAACTTGGATCAACATTAGAGGTTTCTGAAATAGATGAATATTTATCTGTTTCCTTAGTTAAATGTCAAGGAAAATGCTTTAGATATTTTGCAACAGTGGAGAGTATATGGATCAGTTTCATATCCTATTCTTTCCACCATGGTTCGTGACTTACTAACAGTGCAGGTTTCGACGGTAGCTTCGGAATCCGCCTTCAGCATAGCAGGACGTTTAATCGACGACCACAGGACATGCTTAGATCCGTATACTGTACAAGCGGTGATGTGCTTACAAGATTAGTGGAGGTACGAGAAGTGAACGCAAGGCATCGAACGGTTGGCTATACTTGAAGATAAATTTGAAGAGTTTGGACTAGCAGATAAGTATCAAGATTAGATTCATCAAATTATAATTTTTATTTCTTAGCTTTAAATTTGTAATGAATTATTTCGAAAAAAGTTACAAATGATAGTGATATAGGTGAGTAGGTGCCAACCTAGTTGGGATGTACTCATCTATTGTGATGCAACAAATTCTGAAATAAATTTATACTTGTAAAGGATTTACTGATTATTAATAAAGAAGTTATTTTTACCATCTTTTTTTTTGTAATTTTTTGTACTTCTAATTTATGTCATTTCAAGTTATTAAAAAAATTTATGTCATTTTCTGTAATTTTTATGTATTTTTTATGATTTTTGAGGATTTTTAAAAATGTTTAAAAAAACATTTCAACCGGGTCGGCCTGGACCCAGCCCGGGTCAACCGGGCCCGGGTCCGATTGGCGGTTTTGCCCGGCCCGGACTGGGCCGGCCTGTCCCGGATGGACAACCCTACTCTCAAACGTTCAAATGGTTTGTTATTAGTTGCTTTTTTACTTAACATAATTTTAAGGTACTAAGTGCCAGTAAAATAGCTAAGCTCTGGTGATTGCAATTGACAAATAGAAGAAGGGGGTTATTTGCAATTTTAAATTTTATTATATATCTATTTTTTTTTGCCATGAGAGATGACAGCATGAATTTTGCAGCATGTACGAATGAAAATATCACAACTAATCAACTTTATTTCCCTTATTGCCAACTAGTTCTATAATTGTCCAGTCATATTTTCTTAACATTCTTCATGATAACACCAGACATGGCCCATGAAGCAATTTTAATAGATTAATAAAATTTATCAACATCAATGCTTCTCCTTCCATCTCTCCTTTGTCAAAATGTTGAACCGTATTATTATAACAATTAATAATCTTATAACTTCATTGATTTACTTGCTACGATGCAAGAAGTCACTATTTCAAGATAGGTCACCAATATGGAGGCCATCCTTTAAATAAAAAAAAAGGGTGTCTTCAAAAATAAAAATAAAAGTGAATAAAGATAATCACATCTTCATCCACGCCATTTGCAATTCATTCACACGACCAAGGAATCATTTATGGATGATGGTAACTTGACGTAAAGAGGCATTCTGCCTCATTAATTAGTTTGCTTTCTTTGAGTAGAAAATTAGTTCATATACAATATTTTTAAGAGCTTTGCTACATGGACCCAAAATATGGGACCAATAAAGGGGACAAGTGAGGTGTCCCCCTCTTATTGGATAATGAGTTGGCCATCATTAATGATGGTCAATTCATTATCCAAATGAAGGGGAATACCTCACTTGTCCCCTTTATTGGTCCCATATTTTGGGTCCTTAAAGAATTTTTCTATTTTTAAATTCTTCTTCTTAGATGACTTCCAAAGGTCTTTACCATTGTTTATACCCACACTCATGAGCAACACAATCAGGCTTTCCAATTTATAAGTGTAATATTAATTTAAAGTTGTTATTTTGGAAAAAAGCATTAAAAAAAATCTATTTTCAAAAGGTATTTACATGATAACAACCAAGCTTTTGTTGATAAAATAGAAGAGCAAAGAACATTCTATAGAAAGGAACAATCTATACCATTCACGAACGGTTAGAAGTTTAGTTTGAGAATTACGACTCTCCTATTTATGATATAGATCACTTCACTCGAATAGGAATGGTTTTGATAGGGTCCTTACTAAAAATAGACCAACTTCATCGGCTCATAGCAGCTGCCAACCTAAAATTAAATTTTCTTTTTTTCTTTTCTTTTTTCCCTGAAGATATTAACTCCAGTTTTCCTCTCACTCAATAACCACTTAGAAAGAAGACCGAAACACAGATTTGCTCATTTATACTCCACTGTAATTATTCAAATATTTATGCAAGATATGAGCTTTACCATTAATATTATGAATTAAAACAAGAAAAGTAAATACAAGACAATATTGTAGAATACAACTTCCTGAGGTATCAATTTGAAAATTCTTGTCGAAAACTGCAAATTACAAATGAATCTCGTACAATTTAATGGAGCTCAACGCTGCAAGGGAGCAGAATGCTTCTCAAAAATATATATTGACCCTGAAATTTGCTTACAGATGCAAAATATATGACGTGTAATAAATATGTATAGTTGGTAAGTATTCTACAGAAGAAACAGTTTTCTCATATTTTTGGTAATAGATGTTATCTTCAATTTATGCACAAAAGTAGTACTTTTTAAAGCTTTTGCGAGGCAGAGGAACCCTGATCACTATACCGATACATTTAGATATGGTTTATTGCAATTCCACCACCTCCACTATGCACATAAAGCAAGCCTGGTGAAAAAAAAGACGGGAGTTTTTAATCAGATGAAAATGGCAACTTCCCATTTTCTGCATTTGATCACATTAGTAGAAAGCTAAAAAAGATACAAAGTAGCATGAAGCATTGCTACGAAGAGATATATCCATAGAAGAAATTAGAGGAATTCTCCCTTAATAACCACTGAAGCACCTCAAGATAGTGATAAATCATATGGAACTCAAGGTTTTATTTTGGGTGAATTTCACAAAACTACAACAAATTTTGGGTGCTTTGCACAAAAAACTACTTAAAACTTTTTTTATTGAAAGATTACCATGAGCTTTTTTTGTCTAAACTACCAAGAGTGTGGCAGTTAACAAGTCATGTGACATGTTTTGGACAATTTTGTCCTAGTGTACCTATATATCTTCTATATTAACCTTATGAACTTTATGGGCTGATAAGCTATCAATAAGAGTAGATTAGACCATTTATCCAAGACATTAACACTTTTCAAAGAGGTGAATGATATTTTCTGCAGTATTGAAGTTCATGGAAGTTCTCTCTAGTAAAAAAATTTAAAGTTATTTGGGGATGGATCCCCTGTACTATATCCCAATTGTGACTAGACCCCTGTAGTTCTACTATTGCAGATAAACCCCCGAGGGTTTTTCACGTTCTTGACACTTTACCCTCAGAGAGAGAGAAAAATGTTTTTCAACAAATGAGACTTCCTAAGGTCAAAAGACTCCACCAAGAAGAAGAAGAAGGAAAACCACTCAGGGCGGTCTGCAATAACATAACTGCAAGGTGTCTATCTGCAACCAGGCTATAGTACAGGGGGTCCATCTGCAATTTACCCTAAAAAAGTTGTGTCGCTTTTTTTTTGGTGTGTGTGTGGGGGGGGTTGTTGTGGTGTGGGGTAGGGGTGGGGCGGGTATTTAAGGTAGTCTTGATAAAGTTTACCTTTCATTTTGTCCTTCATATCAGATACTTGTATCTACCCTAGTAAATGTTAGACTTCAGGCCCAGAGGCAAATAAGTTGACGAGACCTCTGCATGCTCTTACGGTAACTTGACATCCTTGCAGGAGTTCCCCATCCAAGTTCCATGAACTCTCATCGTGATTTGCCATGAATGTAAATGCACGTGTCTGTACAAGACCAAGGTGGTTAATTTCACAGGAATATGAACTTAAACACAAAGGGGTTGTCACAGTAGACCCCAAATTTTCGTTAATTCTATGTTAGACCCTCAAATCTTCATATCTAAATTAGGCTCCTGAATCTTCATGTGCTCGAACTGGGGTCTTATTTAAAACAACTTAATAGATCCGAGGATATTATTTAAAACAACTTAATGGATTTTGGGTCTTATTTAAAACAACTTAATAGATTTGGGGTCTTATTTATAGCAACTTAATGAATTTGGTATCTAATGTAGAAATATGAAGATTTGTAGGTCTAATGTAAAATTACAAAAATTTGACGTCTGGTATAACAAATAAACAAAACATACTTTGTGGTGTTCCACGAACTTGAAATTTAAGGGGTTGCCACCCCTCCTTGTAAGCTGTGTGAGATGCCTGCATTAATTCATTTAGAGCTCAAATCAATAATCAGAAACACGAAGCATCAGTTTGAGAATTACCTCTTACAGAGAAAATCCAGTCTATCTGAAACTTTTATTAGTTTTATAAATTTCAACCAAGAATCAATCTCATGCCCAGAATGCTTGATATTTTGGAAAAAGAAGAAGAAGAAAAACTGAGAATTTGGTATGAGGTTTAGTTCACGTAAATGGGAACTCAGTCATCATACAACCAGTCACTCTTCTTTCCTTCTATAATACAATAAAGTTCGTCTCTTGACCAAGACCAAGCCAGAAGCAAGATGATAAGTAATCCAATTGTTTGAGGAGTGAATTAGAGCTTCGGTTCATACATCATTTTGCATATTGGACAACATAGCATGACTCAATATATAATTTACATATTAGGTAAATCTGAAACAGTCATCTCAGTTAGATGATGTGTCTCAACCTAAGGTCAGACACAAACATGACACACCAAAGGCAGAGCATCACACGACACACTGAAACGCAAAAAAAAAAAATTCATAGTAAACATAACAAGCTAAAAAGTAAAAAAATAGTCGATAATATTTCAATTCATTCCCTACTCTTCTCGCTTGCATACAACTAAGGAAGTTCTGATATTATCATATGGCGCTTAAGATATATGCAACATCTTATCTTCACTTGTCATGCCCCAATGCGGGAAAATAATGTGAAGATTATTTTCTATGCCGACCAAAGATACGGTTCAAGTTTCATCCTACTCAGGTTCAGATCATAAACAGATCGATCTGAATGACAAGTTAACAAATGGGTGATATCAGGGACTTGTATTTTGACCCACATGATCTCAAAACAGCCTCACTATAGTTGAAAAATATTTTAGTTATGACATTTTACACAGGATAAGATTGTTCCTTGAGTGTCTCTGCTTGTTTTGATCTTCAAAGCATTGTGTTTAGTTCACAACTGGTGCAAAAATTTACCTTTTGGACTTGATTTCATGAGAAAAGAATGTTAAGTATGATAACTTTGTTGGCATGGTTAGAAAATCAATATATTTTTCCAACAGTCATTGACGACCTGGCCTGTTAAAAAATAATTTACCTTTGAACTGCATGACTAAACCAACCCGACTACCTTGGTTAAATATCTTAACTATGGCATTTCACACATTATAACAAATTTGCTTGACAGTTTCGTTCGTTTGATATTCAGAACATCTCTATTTATTGTATGTGCCACATAGTTTGGTTCTCACCAAGAGCAGAAATTGACTTTTTGATTCATAGGAACAAAATTCTTACATATGACATTTTTGTTCATGGATTGGTTAGAACATATATTTTTTTGTTTATTAGTCATGATCAATCGGCACTTAGTGAAAAAAATTAACTTCCATTAAGTCATTTTCATCAAACAATATTGTTCATAAGTCATTTTTTATCAGCACTTTCGTGAAAAATAATAATTTACGTTTTCTAAAACAACACAACCTTTTGGCACTCAAATTTGAACGAGATCCTGCTTCTTCTAAACTCGACCTGTTCAAAAAGCAACTTTCATGACAAATACAAATTGCCCATATATTGGCAAATCGTATTCAGGTGCATCTAAGATTTAACTGAAGGGCTAAATTAACATATTGGTATTCTAACTTGACTCTATTTTCTAATAAGGTATTTATTTCCGCTCCAACATCAATATGGTATTTTTAACTTGTACCCCGATGACCTTTTTTTTTTTGAAAAAATTCTTCCAACCCCTTGACTTATCAAAATTATTAAATCTACACTCTCTTCTTCTTCAACCCCTAACCCCCACCCAAAAAAAAATTCCACCTTTTTACCTGATAAGATCCTTCTTCACACTTTCTTTCCCTCTCATCAATGAAGCCTCCTCTTTCTTCTATAAACTCAAAATCAAACGCGAATTCAAATTGGTATCGATTTGGATGAATGTTGTTAGGGTTGGATCAGGGTAAGTTTGAATCATCGTTGTGCGATTCCCCGGACCCACTTCAAACCGTCGTACAGTTCCTATAAACTGATTTCTGGTACATTTACAAACTGATTCCCTCCGATACACAAACCCATTCCTCAAAATTAGCGTACCACTTACAAGTATGTTAGATGCAAAGCCTCCTTAAGTGCACATGTGCAAGATGTAATGTAATGTGTGCAATTAAGTGAAAAGAGACACACAATAGAGTATATGAGCCGATGACTTTACTGTAACTAAACACGTATGTTAATTAAATGTAAAATGAAACCATGATTCCTAAAATGAGCTCTGTGAAAAAAAAAGAAACAGAAAAAAGAAACAAACTCCATCAAAAAGAAATATTTAAGTATTTTGTATGAAAAAACTATTATAATTCATAATTAGCTCTCTAGTTTTCTACTATATACTTTGAAAAACTTTAAATGCACCTGAAAAGTTTACAACGTACCACTAACCGAACTTGCGTACTGAAGCAAACTACCCTCTAACGAATCTAAATTTTCTAAGTGGCGAATTGCATACCCGAATTTGTACCATGGCCCGCTACGTACCGCGTACTGTGTAATTATCGTTTGAATTGGGGGAGGTTGAAGGAGAAAGAGGGGTTGAAAGGAGGATCTTATTAGGGAAAAGGTTGGAAGAGATTTGAATTGGGGGAGGTTGAAAGAGAAAAATAATGTAGATTTAATAATTTTGATTTAGGTCTGGGGGGGGCGGGGGGGTGAAAGAAATTTTACTGAAAATAAAATTGCAGTTCGCCGAAATTCTCGTCACGCGTGAGAAAAAAGGGTCTTGTTGTCATCGAGACACAAGTAAAAATACCATATTGATGCCGGAGTAGAAATGATTACCTTATTGGAAAATATGGTCAAGTTAGAATACCAATCTGGTAATTTAGCCCTTAGCTAAAATATAATTAAAAGGATGCTCTAGTCAACCATATATGGGTTTGGTCAATTATGACCCACCCCAACATGTAGTTCATTATCTCCCCCTAGAAGGAAAAAAAAACTAATGCAAAAATGTGTAAACATCAGTAGAATAACATATATCAAAGGCTAAAGGTTTAATTACAACTTAATACCTCAAAGGTTTATCGAGTTTAACTTTGATACCCTGAAGTTCAAATTTGTCCAAAAGATACCGCAAAGTTTCACCTTTAATATATTTCGCTACATCACCATTCATAATTTTGTTTCGGCTTTGAATGTTGTTTAACTAGGGTGCTTTTGCTTATTGTGCAATTTAAATCATTTTATGTTTCGTAAAGTGAAGAAAAGGATCAATGCTTTTATAATTTCCATGTTTTAGGGTTAAACAGCTGAAGAAGGAAGATATGAATTCCGGGATATTTCTTTTGGCGTATGCAAATCCAAATATTATCACGTTATAACTAAGTTGCATTGATACACATGGAGATACGTTTGCTGGTGTGGGTACAGTACACAAAAAATATGTAAAATGTAGGGTATGGGGGCATGGCTGAAATGCATCGCCTGAATCATAGTTCTAAGCTTGATATGCAAATGGCTTGTAGGTTTTAACTGAATATAACTAAAACAAACCCCCAACCTTGTCCACCAAGTTTCAAAGTGGACGTAAAGTGTAGGACATACGTCTAAAAAGTGTATGATAAGTGTTTTAAATTAAAACATGTATCATATAATTGAGTACACATCTGAATAATTGTATGCAAATACGTAAGGAGTGTCCAAGAAGTGTCGGGTGTGGGAAGTGTCTGGTATGGTACGACATCATGATAGAAGTACCCAGGTAACATACATCACTTGATGCTTTAAACGGAATTCTGAAAAGTAATAAACTAATAATATAAGGTATTAAATTTAAAAGCGGGGGAACTTTGGGTAATTTTTGGGCAAATTTAAACTTCAGGGCGTTTAAGTTAAAATCGATAGAACTTTTGGGTATCAAAGTGAAAATAACCCTATATCAAAAGCACAATAATGCACATAATTGACAAGATATGACTAGAAATTATAGACATTGCATATGTATGCACACAAAAAATAAGATATATGTAAATCAGTTTGAGTTACCATAAGTAGTAAGAGCGAGAGCAATCTTTGACTAGTATAAGATGCAGGAAGCCATCGCCAAGGTGTGCATCAGCTACTAAACCATCAGGAGCTTTCTCATTTCGACATGAAATAACAGCTGCACCAACACTAAGAAAACGCCCTTTAGTTCGTACCCACCTTGAATCCTCTGACTGAATGCTAGCATTTGTGATGCCTCTCTCATCATCCACAGATGATATTTCAGTCTTATTACAAACTGTGCAGTTAACACGGCAAAATACTTTCTCAGGATTCTTTCGAGAACTGAGTGATCTTTGTGGCCCACACTGAATCTTCTCAGGTTTAGGGTTTGGATCAATCATTTTGTCTTCTAGAAAAGTTACTTCTGCTTCGTATGATCTACAAGACAAAAAAAAAAAAGCAAATGGCCATTAAATTCAATGAATATTAGATAGAGGTTTTAAGAGAGAGTTTTAGTAAAGGACCTGTGTTCTAGAAACACCTTTGTTCCAACAAAATCATAACGCTTAGGACCCATCCAACGATACTTTTCACTCTCCTTAATGACATCTCCATAAAAACCATACCTATTAGACACAAGGATATCATTAATAACTTGATATCTGACTATATCAATATCAATTTAATATATATAAAAAGGATAATATCATTGCACAAGGAAAATTGGAACAATTAAAAGCTAAAAAAAGAGAAATAGTTGCACCCACTAAAAATTATAAAAGATACATGGAAGGAAAAGGACATGGTACTTATTAATTAGACAGAAAGCAACATTTAATAGACCTGAATGGAGTGTACGCAAACCCAAAGATTAAAGAAGCATTTTTATTATCGTCCTTGTCACTCTGTAGATATTTGCAACCGTAGTGAAGCTGCATAACGAATTCCACTGAGCTCTGATTCGGATTGGGAAAACATAACATAATTATTCAAGCAAGAAGCCTATCAGTCAAAGCGGCTATGCCTGCATGAGTGTACTGACAAAATTAATGCTGGGCCAGAGGTATTGAACTGGTATATTAGCATGTGTCGAGTATTGCCCAAAACTTGCCTTTGGAGTTGATTGATGCTCACCAAGGTTATCGATAGCGGATAGCATCACGTAGCGATGAGGCATCACTAAGGCTATTTGGGGCTATCGCGGCAAAGTAGCGGTAAAAAGCACAAAATCAAATAGCGGTCTAATTTAGATATGTATAAATACTAAAAAAAATTAAAGAAAAATCTAAAAAATCTAAAAAATCTAAAAGTACATATTTGATGATTTAAAGAGATCCTAAACATGAAATAGATATGTAACCATCACGTAATATCGAAGATGACTAGAGGAGTCAAAGAGTCATCGTCTTCGATAAGAAGAGCTAAGCGATGAGAGGATTGCCCTAAGAGGAGCTCACGGTGAAGGAGATGAGAGGAAGTACTGAGATAGGTGCTAGAGGCTATGAGAGGTGGCGGGAGTATACTGAAAATCACAGGAGACGGTGGAATGCAATGTTCAAGGGTCGGGTTTAATTTAAAAATAAATAAATCACAAACCGCTTTTAAATAGCAGTCAAAAAGCGGATTTCGCATGCAATCGCCCACTATTTACCGTTATGGTACACTATTGGCCGCTTTTGCGAACGAAAAGTGCATATTCCGCAATATGTCACCGCTATTGGGCAATAGCGTAGTGGGAAAGGACCGCTAACGCTATTAGCGTCGCTATTGCGGGGCTATTTACCGTTATTTATAACAGTGATGCTCACTAACTATATATATCAATGTTGAACAACTTTTTGAACCTTGGGATATACAAAAATAAACTATTCATCTCATAAAGCTCAATTTAGAAGCATCATATCTAAAACACTGTTTTTTGGTCCTTTATGGTCAGACTGAATCAAAGATTTAAAACGATAACCTCTTAGCGCAAAGGTTCAAGGTCGGTATAAAGGATGGTGAATGTTCTTGGTTCATTGAATTATCTAACCAACTTCTACCGGCGCTGGCTAGTCAACTAACTGAAATTTTTTCAGAGAAACATATGTTCCAATAAGCAAAGTAGTTGAGCTTGATGCAACTTAACTCCAAATGCAAATTGATAATTTCATATCATCATAGGAAACAACATATTGAACATCTGAGTTTTAAATAAAATTGATTACCCTGCAAATGAAGCTGCATAGTGTACGGAAGGCACATCAACAGATGAAGTAGTATGTTTCCATCTCACCACCTGAGCTATATCAAGGGAGATTTTTTTTCCGAGGATAATTTGTAAAGCAGATGTTACAGAATCCCGAATGCCAGTTGTGCTGGAGAGGAAAAGCAACCTCTGTTAAGCAATTGTAATTAAAAGCATCAATATCCTTGAGAGGATAATTCTCATTCATTTTAGGGTTAATTTCACAACCCCCCCCC